TTACCCAGCTGGGTAATGAAACGTTTGCAAGAAAAGAACCAAGCTCAGAGAACCCCAAGGACTCCACAGTTCAACCCTGAGCTACACATATTCACTTCCATTGCCAAAATATGTCTGTCATAAATCAATGTGCCACTAGGTGGTGGTACAACATTTGCTTGTGGTAGGTTTTTATTCTTTTATGCAGATGCTTAAAAAAAAGGTTTGAATGTGCCACACACATTTATCCCGGAGTCGGCAAGATGGCCTGCAAGTCCCTCTAACTTTTAAATTGTATAAATCCATGCACACAGTTGTTCACCACAGTATATCTCTCTCCTTAAGGCATGCTTCCTAATCAACGTATTAATCCAGTCATTCATTTGCGTCTTTCTCATTCGTGTCCTCAAGCAGAATAGAGACCCATGAGCTAAAAAGCCAAATGCCACCTTTGATTAAGGGGGTCAAATCTCAAATACCTAATTTGCCATAAACTAAATAGCATCTTTAGTGGTTTGTTTTAGATTTAAGACACTTAACAGATTTTCTCTCTCTGTCCCCCCCAATTACTCTTCTTTCTTGGGGGATGGGGAAAGACCAAAATAATGAGACACACTTTCAAGTTAAAAAGAAAATAACATCAGAAATGAATTATTTCTTGATGAAAAATCATATATTTTCATTACTGTAATTAAAAGCTGTTGCATTACTAAAAGGATTCAGAGAATGAAAATTTGGATTAGTACCATATTAAAAAATCCCAGTCAAACACGGTATGCCTATAGCAACAGGGAGGCTCAAAAGCAGGGAAAATATTGGCAAAGTGGCTTCTTCAAAATCTGTCAGTAAAAAAAAGGAAGAACAAACTAGAAAAAACATTTTTATTTAAAAGTCAGCATGTCACCACAATTAACTTTATACACTGAGGGGTATTTATATCCGCTCTGGCCCTAGTAAAGGACAAAGAAGAAGAAAAGGCACGAGAGAGGGCAGACCGGGTGGTGGTAGAAGTTGTTTCTCCCTTGGCCAAGTCTGGATAATGCAACAAAGTTGATTGAATTGAACAGCCCAAGACCCCATGGCCAAACTGGACTGCTGCTCCCTTAGCAACTTCTAAGCAACACATATGGTTCTTTTAACTGTAACAGCTTTCACTTGCTATTTCCATTGTTTTGACATAAAATCAAGAGAACTGGTTGCCTTCCTTCCAACAGTCTGTCTGCAGGATGGGAGAGATCCATCTCACGCCCAGTCCTGAAGATGCCTCTACTGCTGTAGCTTCGGGGCTCCCCTTTGCTGGCTGTAGATGTTTTCATTTCAATCCTTTCAGTGAGGTGAGTTCGCTGTGTAATCTCTTTCAATACTGAGTGGATGTTTGGCCCCTCCGTTTCCCAGCACAAGCATGTTCATTTAGTTGGACTATATGCAGCAGAAACTGGTCATGTAGGAGTTAAAGTTCAGCTCCTAATATGAAATGGTGCCTGTATTGTAAAAAAACATATTATAAAAAAGAAAGGCACAAAGGCCAAGTTAAGTAAATACAAACATGATACAAAATGATGCTTCAAGCAGGTATTGTTGTAGTGTAGAGCTACACTAGGCCAGCAGCTTTTTCTTGCACATTGTATTCCTTGTTCTTGGTCAGCTTCCAGCTGATGAAAGATAATAGCAGAATGCCAATAATTTTGTAGCCAACCTGGAGGCCTAAGTACCTGCCGAGAGACAGAGGGAGAGAAAGAGAGAGAGAGGGATAATTTATTTTGAAATGAAACCAATCAAATTTATAGGGATGCAATAATATGACTTAGTTGAGTGACTACTGAGAAAAAATGAGTGGTTTCCAAAACATCTTAAACTAAACAATGCTGAATTTGAAACAACCTGTTTTGAACTCAGAACAGTGCAAAGCAAATGTTTCACTCTTGAAACTGGCTCTTTCAATTGTTTTTAAGTGTTTCAAAATGCTGTTTTAAGCTCTGAACACTTCCAAAATGATCTAAGTCAGTTATGAATGCAGAAATACGAACTTCAGGAATTTTTAGGTTTCTATAAAAATGTAAATTCCAGATCTGGGTGTGAGTTTTGATCTTGTCAAGAAAAGGAACATTAGAAGGGGGAGAAGCTCCTCTTTCAGGGATAAGAAAATAGTTTCCCTCCGATAGGTTTCCCAAAAGTGATATAATATTTCTTTTGGAGAATAAAAATGAGGTGGAGATAAATAGTAATTTTTCAATCATTTTATGATCTGGAATGTAACTCCTGGCTGGTATTAACAAATCTTCCAGGCTCAAGCTGTGCTGAGCTTGCAGATAACTCTTAGCCATATGATTTTTTTAAAAAGAGAAAGGATTAAGGTCATAAGATAACAACAATAGCTTACAAGTGAGGAGTTCATAGTTACTTAGTGAAGCATTTCCTATCATGGCAGATAGGGTTAGTATATGATTCAGTGTGCCCAAATGTTCTCTGCTGTCTGTAAGTCATAAGATGTGCAAGCCAAGTTCATGATTTTCTAAAAGGCAGGAATATGCTTGCCCCAGACTGGTTTGCTTTTCAGTCTCATTTTAAGACAAAACTTCTTCCTTCCTTGAATCCATATAGCACTCTTCCCAACCACCAAGTGTATGGGGCTCTATCTTCCACTATGCACAAATTGGCACTGCTAGATGTGTTGGAACTGCAAGCCCTAAATCTCTGACAGTTTATGTCCTATCTGGAGGCAGCAAGTTGGAGAAGTCTTCTCCGGATGGCTCTGACTGAAGTTCCTACATCCTAGGTAGTTGTGGAACTGTGCACAGCTATTTCTTCTCTTATCAGTTAGCCCTGGTAACTGCTCTGTTCTAGGAAGGGAAGTCACCTCCACCTCCCAGTTGTTCTTTGGGAGGAGGAATGAGGGAACAAGCTGAAAATCAGGGTCTTGGCTGAGGTTGTACTCTATGTATACTTAATTCACTCCCATGGCTGGAATGCTAGGAAATATCTGAGACTCCTTCTGAGGCGAATCTCCTGAGGCACCAACAGAACAGCCACTGGAGAATGTGGTAAGAGATGCCAAAGGGCCATTGCCAAGACTTCCTGTGCTGCTGATTAAAGTCTCAAGGCTTTACCAATTCTGGGGTTGCTGGAGGCTTGTTTGGTGGGATGGATTCAGTGAAGGAAAGCCCAAGACATCTGCATCCCAATAAGGAAACTGTGCTAATGTGTTAGCAGTCAAACATGTATTCTTAACTTCACCTAGCCAGGGGCAGGCATGAGTCAAGGGCAGAAAGTGTATATGTCCCTGCTCTTAAGGCAGATTTCATGGAACAGATTACTAAGGATTTCCTGGCAAGATGCATTCCATCTCTTCTGATCTATTTGTGCTAGTCAAACTCTTCTTGAGGTCCTTCTTTAAAATGTGTGCTTGCAAGGGCTGTGTCCTGTAGGAACTTGCTTCTCATGATGATGGCAGGAAGGATCAAGGGGAGGGAGCCTTCATCCTCCAAATTAAACCTTTGGGAGTCTTCTTTCCCAGCTTCCGTAAAGGGCCTGTCCTGGAAATAATTTCTCTTCCCCTTCAAGAGGTGAATAGCCACAGCTAATTAACTGTCATAATGCACAGAACGTTCTTCTAGCCTTCAATATACAAACATTTCCACAAAAAACAATTTATTTCAAAGTCATGCAAGGGGGAGGGATGGTCTTCTCTCATTTTATTCAATAAACCTGTCAGACATTTTGAGCTCAGGGAAAGTGATTATCTAAAGTCACCCAGTGAACTCTAACTTCAAGTAGGAACTTGAATGTAGATCTCTGTAGACCCAGTCAAATATGCTACCAATTGCACTACAATGGCAGTTCATATATTTCCCTTGAAGCCTGTGACAAAGGTGCTTAAAAATAAGTGAAAAAGATGGTATCTTTAAAAAGGCACCAGCCTTTTGGACTAGGATGGAGGTCCTCTCTGAGGAGAGAGATAAGGAGCTTGTGCTTACAGAAGAGGCATGATGGCAAAAGTTCTGAGAAAGTGGGATGGGGGTGTTCCCATCCTCCTCAAAAGCCAAGTCAAAACAAGTCTTCTCAAAAGATTGTCTCAAAAAAAAAAAAGTCCTAAGCAGTTGTAAAGGACTGCCAAGACACACAAGGCTCCAGGAGCTCAAATAATTCAGTCTCCCCCAAACAACTGAGATAACTGCATCAAAGTCTTTTAAGGGAGAAAAGTGAAACAAAGCTGCATTATGAGCAGAAGGTTTTCCTCCTGCTGCTTTAAGCTTTGCAATTATTAATTTTACTTCTACTTTGCATAGCTTAAAAGTGATTTTAGTGCAGCAGACTTACACTCTGATTGCTAAGCACAATACTGTACAGAAAATATTGGGCAAATTACTCTGTCAGATTAATGTACACTGCAAGATTGTTATGAGCTTATGATGGAATTAATAGGAATAATAATAATAATAATTATTATTATTATTATTATTATTCAATAGGTGGACAAAATGCCAAATCCAGTCTAAACATCTGGCTGACTGTGCAACCAACAATAGCAACATCTGCCTATCCCAGGTACTTGGGAATGACTGGATAGGGGAATAAAATGCTAAATCAAGTCTAAACATCTGGCTGACATTAATAAATTAATAATAATTTATTAATGGATACTTGCATTTCTTGGAGGGCCCAATAAATACTGGTTTCATGATATGATTTATAGAAGGCAAGCAATCCATTAGTTCTATCTATCTACCACAGATAAGAAAAGCCCTCGTCTAATTCACACAGAGAACTGGCATTATTCCCATCTCATGAATGAGAAGGGTTACCTGCTGCGGAAGAAGCTATTGTTATAGTAATGGCAGGATCCACTCTTATTGTTGCAGTCTTTCTTCCACCATATGCAGGAGGAGTCAATGAGGATGCCAAAGAGGGTAGGAGCTGGCAACCAGGCTTGGAAAGAAAAAAGAAAAGGAAAATCTAGTATTTCACACTCCAGGCAAACAACATGTTACACAGTTTTTACATTCACAAACACCCAAAGGGCCAAGTCTGATTAAGACCTTTTATCTCTCAGTTTATCTCTTCCAAGAAAAAAAAAAAAATCAAGGTATCATCTGAACCAAGATTGGATCCAGATTACAATTAATTTAATGTAGCAGTTCATATTACATTTTCAAGCATATGAAAGATCACACTTTTTTATGTCTTCCTCTATTTTGATTTGAAATTACAGTAAAATGAAACAGTAAAATTTTCCCCAAATCCAGTAGCAAAATGTAAATTACACTGCATATCCAGTTGAATATTTGGAAGGATAATGGGACATAAATCCCTCTACTTTCTTTTTTTATCTGACCCCCACCCCTACCCCACTACACTTTCCTGATGCTTGAATGAGGATGCAATGTCCTGCATTCTAGAGATCCTGGGAAATGTACTCTTCCCCAAGTATAAGAATTTAGAAAGCTAGAAAAACTACATTTTTCAGAATTCCTAACACTTTCTTCCACTATCCCTCAGAAACCTGTTATTGACAGTGCTGTTGAATTAATTAAGGTACATGGCATTTCATTTGTATTGAAATTGAGCATTGTGGAATAGAAAATTCATGTTAAAGTCAGATAACTACTGTATGACACAGTTGAAGAAGGACAACATGATAATAGTTCAGACCATTTTCTAAATTGGTGCTGGCTGTCACCTTTAAAGCCCTACATGATATAGGATCTACTTATATGAGGGACTGTCCATCTCCTACGGTTTCAGCCCACTCTGTAAGATCTGACAGAGTTGGCTCACTCCTGGTCCTATTGATCAAGCAATGTCTTCCAACAGGACCCAGGAGGTGGGCCTTCTCTGTTGTAGAATCTGCCCTCTGGAACTGCATCCCCCTAGATATTTGCATGACTCCACCTTACCAGTCTTTAAAATAGCAATAAAAATGTGACTCTTCACCAAGGCCTTGGATTAGGGTGATCAGGGAACATTTTGTCTGTTTTTATTTCTGCTGGTGGGGTAGAGAATTGGTTGCTGTTCCTTTGGGATGACACTGGGTTTTATTTTTGATTTTATTGTTCACATATGGAACTGGGCAGCCTAGAAATTTGATAAGTAAGTAAGTAAATAAACAAGGGAAAGATGAAAACATGACCTCCCTCTTCCCCAAAGCAGACGGCAAGTAGTCCATTGCATACGTGGGCAAAAGAAAGAAGTGGAAAAGGATTTGAATACTGAATTGCAGAATCATATGATTGGAAGGGACTTGGAGGTCTTCTAGATTAACTCTCTGCCCAAGGCAGGAATCCTCAGACTATTCCAGACAAATGGCTCTCCAACCTTTGTTTGAAAGCCTCCTGTCAGGTTCAGCCCAAGAATCACATGAGAGAGTCCGGAAATCAGCTCAGCTTCTTTATTAGCTTGCACCTAATAGACAGAATCTCGCCAAACTACCTCTAATTCCCCAACAGGAGCAACTATAACCATCAAGCCCTCATGGAGGGGCCAGTCTCTTCCTCCTTACTTTCACACAGTCCAGCTGGGGGCTGAGGAGATGCT